CCCAGCTTCCGGTGGCCGCCAGCATTCCTTGTCTCGTGGCCGCACACTCCAATTTCTGTTTCTGTGGCCACATTGCCCCTCCTCTTCTCCTCTGCCTCTCTCTTAAAAGGACACTGGAGATTACATTTAGAGCCCACTCTGATAATCCAGGATAATCTCCCCATCTCAAAATCCTTCCTTTAATCGCATCTGCAAAGACTTTCCATGTACGGTAACATTCACAGGTTCCAAGAATTAGGACCTAATATCTTTGGGGCCCATTATTTACCTACTACAGGCCCACAGAGGCAACACAGTTTTAGTAGAGGGCCGCCTCTAGCCAGCCTGTGGCCATGGCCCTTGCCTGAGACCAGTGGAAGGCACATGGCCTCTTGCTTTACAAACCAGCACATCCTGGGAAGGGGGTCCTTCTGCCGGGATCCTTGGAAAGGAGTGAAGCAGGCTCTGCAACGGAGGTGGCGGGATATGGAGACTCCACTGGAATTGGCTAGGACAGAACTGAGGCATTAAGCACCTTGGGGTGGAGAAGGTGTCAAGAGAAGGCCCCTCCCCTACCTGAAGGCTGACTCTAAATCTGATTTCAATTCTCACTTCACTCATCCCACGTTCAGCAGATACTCAGACATGAGCCAGCCCTTGTCTTCAGGGAGCTCGAAGCCTAACCCCAGAGGCAAGCACTGTTGTCGTCAATAGATTGTAACTGCAGGTGAGGCCCCTCTTTTCCGGGTGGGGCAGTGGAGACCCAGGGATCACGGGGTCATCTTTGTATGGAGTCAACTTAGCACAAGGGCTCCACATTTCCTCAATCCCCTACCCCCAGCGTCTTCCTGTCCTGATTTCATCATTTCTAGTCTCTTCCTCTTGGCACTTTAAAAGTGAAGTAACAACAGTTTCATCTTCCCTTAGATGAGCTTGCCAGGAAGTGACTCCTCCCAAGCTGGGCACTTTCTGCATCTGTAGAGTTGGCCAGTGGGGAGCCAGGGCACAGGACCCTTGACGTCAGGCAGCATGTTATTCATTCCATATCTATCAAGTACTCTTTCCACACTCAGATTTGAGTAAAGCAGAGAAATAGGTAACCAGCCTTGCCTTCTCAGCACCAACTGGGGCAAGCATCCTCCTTAAAATGAAGAAAAGCTTCTGCCATGAAATTTGGGGGCCTCTGAGGGCAGATTGAGAAGTGGCAGAGCTTCCTGCCAAGTCTGGAATCCCAAAATCAATCCCAAAATGGAAAAAAAAAGGGGGGTCTTGGATATGGAGAGAAGCTTCTAATCTCAGTTTTGCCTCGTTCAAGCTGTGTGACTAAGCAAATCACTTAAAAACTCTATGAACCTGATCTGTTAAAAATAAAAAAAAAAAAAGTAGAAATGCCTAAGAGAACAGTTACGCAAGAGAGTCCAACAATCGTTTGGGGGAGGTCCTCTAAGGGCTAACTACACGCTACCCCTCCAGGTGGGTCTTAGGCCAGGGGTCGTCAATCTCCCCTGCTCTCCACTTCCTCGTGCCATCTTCAATACCTTTAAGGTCCTGGCACCCCGGCCCTGTCGAGTCAGCTTGCCGAGAGCTGGGCCCCAGAAGGCCGCGGGTGGGGTGAGGCGCATGAGGCAGTACCAGGACAGGGCTCAAGTGTTTTGAGCAACCAGACCGGGAGTCAAGTGCGAAGTCAGGCCAGGTCGAGCCCCCGCTTGCCGGCTCCATCCGAGTCCTGCAGCGCCCTGGGGTTGCCCATTCACCCGCGCCTCCCACGCGCGATTCTTGTCTGGCCTTGCCCCGCCCGCTTGGCCCACGCGGCGGGCGGGGCGAGCCGGAGCCTTTGTGTTCAAACCGCCCAATGGGCAGTGGCAGTGGGCGGTGACGCGGGCGGGGTCTGACCAATGGGCTGCGGTCTGTCAGCGTTGACTGACAGGCGCACACATAACACACTCGGCCACGCGCGCGCCGTCCGGCCCCACTTGCGCAGCGCGGTTCTGCGCGGGCCGCATTGTCCGCCAGTCCGCCGTCCTCAGTTCCCCGCGCGACCCGGGTCCCCGCGCCGACCGCACCTCCCCGGATTCCGACGCGGTAAGGGGGTGCGCCCGGGAGGCGCGGCTGGCCTCGAACGTCCCCGGCCCCGTACGGAGCAGCGGCGGCAGCAGGTAACAGCCGGTCTTGGGCCTCTAGCGGGCGGACGCGCGGGGCGAGGGTGGTCGGCCGGCCTCGCTCCCCTCCCCGCGGGTCCCGGGCCCGGCCTGACCCCGGGGTCATCGTCGGGCTGCCCCGGCCAGAGCCGAGCTGCCCAGGCCTGGCCCTTCCTCTCCGGGCCAAGCTGGGCCAGGCTCCAGCCCCGCCCGGCGCACGCCCCTGGACCGGTCGAGAAGGGCCAGCGCTGTGCCAAGGCCGCCGTGACTCATCTCCGCCGCCCGGCCCCCGCCCCCGGGACTGGCCGCTCCACTGGTCAGTCTGGAGGGCGGATGTCTCCGGGCGGGACTTCCCCGGGCCGAACCTCCCCGATAGGCGAGGAGCGGAGACCCGGCTGTCCCAAAGCGGCCCAGGCCAGTGCCCGCGTTTTCGTGCCAGTCAGGCAGTTTCCAGGGGCAGGTAGTTCTCTGCTTCTGCCGCCGCCTGTCATAACTCTGGGAATAGGAGGGAGGCCCATTTTGTTCAGTTCTAAAAAAAAAAAAAAAAAAAAAAAAAAAAAAAAAAAGAAACCAAACAAATAGGAGGCGGGAGTGTGACTTAGAGCAGAGAGGCAGGGAAGGCGCATGGTTGGTAAAAAAAAAACAACTCCCGCAGGTTTAGCCAGTAGGGAATGAAGGGAGCAAAGAGTTAGCACCTGGAGCGTTTTGCAGGTCCCACGAGAGAATGTAGTATGAAAACGTACCGCGGAGGATGCCCAAGATCTAGGTTAAGTCTGACGACTGGATGGATACTGCCATATAAGTTTGTGATGGGGGTGGGGAAGGGTGGAGCTGAGAAAGGATGTGGTTCCTCTCAGAAGTGGGAAGGGATGTTTTATTTGAGGGTGTCTTAATGGGGGGCGGGGGAGGCGCGGGGGGTGTTTATTCTGATATGCAAAAGTTTGGAGCTCTGAGAGGCTCGACGGGGCCTCGACCTTTTCATCTTGCGAAACCCAGATTCAATGATAAACTGTTTCGTGATAGCAGAACCCTATGAGAAAGACTAAAAGGCACCCCTGGAAGGGTGCTGACTGCTGATGGTTTTCAGCAACCCCCCCAAACACACACACACACACCTCCATCTAAATATTTATTTATATTCTTGCCAGCAGTAGCTTGAGTTCTGTATAAACACATTGCTTTGTTCCTGCCCCAGGGCGAAAGCTTCATCAGCTTCTGCAAGGCAGGGTTAAGAGGAGGAGCCTGTGTGAGCATCTGTAGCTTTCAGGTGGGGAGGGCAGTAGCAGGGGTGGAATTACCTTATAAGGAATGGAATATAGAAAAGGATCCAGGCCAACTTCCTGCTGTGGCTACTACCTATCGGTCCCTTTACCACCATCGGCTAAAACCAGGGAAAGATGCCAGGTGGACATCCTACCTGTGAAGACACCAATAAGACCCAAGACATGAGGCTGCCTGTTTTTCAGAAGACGACTTTGTAGAATTCTTCAACTGGACTAACCAGACCTCCTGGTTTCTGTAGTCTGCGTTGGGATGTGTTAGAGCCTATGTCCACCACACAGTCCAGAGAACTAGTAATTTAAGTATCAACCAGGAATATTGGAAGTGATAAGTCACAAGTACTAGGACCGAAGTATAACAGTGACTTTGTAATACAGGCTGGCAAAGGCACCATGTTCAGAGTGCTCACACTGGTCATCTGAGATTTTGAATTTGGGTCTCTAGAACTGAAAGGTTTATGAATCCTCCTTGTGTTGTAGAATGCCGCCTTTTGCCATGTCTTTTCACCTTGGCCTCCTCTGAGTCTTCCTTATCAATTCCAGAGCCTTGGTTTTCCAGCCCATGTAGTGACTGGTCTGGCTGCTAGGGACTGAGGGTAATCCCACACTGCCGCTCCACCTGCCTGTTTTGTTAGTTTGTTAACAAATGTAACAGCTCTGCAGCCTGTTCTGAACATACTGGAGGCTGTAAAAGACTCTAGTTGGGGACACAACAACATATTCCTGAAACAACTTGAAAACCTCCTGGTGGAGTGGAAGGACTCAGGCCCTGCAACCTGTGAGAGCTGAGCTCAAACTCTGCCACTGTCACTTACAGGCTGGGTGGTTGTGGGCAGGTTACTGATCATTTCAGTGTCCCAGGGGGGTAACGATGCCTTCCTGGATTATAATGGGTGTGTAAGGAGCCGGGGACCTAGGAGGCATTTTACGAAGTATTTTATCGTATCAAGATGCACTGATGTTGCAGCCCAATAATCACTAATGGGATACAGCATCCGGGCGCCATCAGGATGTAGGCAGGGGTTACCGTGCAAAAGTTTTCTGGAGTCAAAGTTTGATTGCGGCTCTGAATCAGTGAATACAGCTATGAAGAAAGGAAAGTACGTCCCATCTAAGGGAAACAAGATAGAACAAGAACAGGCACAGCTCTAGGGACAGGGCAGCACGGTAAGATGGCTGGGCTGGAGAGCGGGTGCAGGGCAGCAGTGATGAAAGGCATTCATTTAGCCCTTGTGGCCTACCTATCAGGTGCCACAGGCTCTGTCTCGTCAAAGGTTGCAGAAGGCCCAATTCTAGTTCTCACGGACCTCAGTATCCAGTAAACTGAGAATTAGGAAATCCTGTGGAAGGTGCCATGAAAGAGGCTGCCAAGGCAGAGGGCAGAGGGCAGCAGGGTGGGTGGGGACGGAATAATTAATAAATGCCCCATGTCACCCACATCTCAAGCTGTTTCAGTTGAATCCTGGTGGGGGGTGGGGATTGGCTAGGATGCAGTACCTTGTTTCTCCTCCCCTGGAGAGGGGCTGAGAACAGCCCCATGCTTCACATGGCGCCCTTTCTCTCCCAAGACTCTTCAGGGGAAGGGTCCCCCGCCCACCTCATCATGTCTCGAAGAAGCCAGCGCCTAACACGCTACTCCCAGGGTGACGATGACGGCAGCAGCAGCAGTGGAGGGAGCTCGGTGATGGGGAGTCAGAGCGCTCTGTTTAAAGACAGCCCTCTTAGGTAGGGGGTCGCCACTTCCAGCCCCACCCCCCTCCGTGGGATCGCACTGACCTGCAGAGCATATGTCTTGGGCGGTTCACTGTGCAGCCTCTTCGTCTTGTGACTTTTGTGGGCAGAGATCAGATACCCATGTCTGGTCAAAGGGGACATTCACACCTCTGGGGATGCTAGGGCCCAGTGCTGTTTCTTCTCTCCATGCTGTAAGCCGGGCTGCTGCCCTCATGTTCAGAGAACAGGAAGTGGGGAGAGGCAGCTTCAAGAATAAGCCAGGCCGGAAACCCCAAAATCGAGAGCTGGGCTCACAGGAACCCATGGTGCCGTGGATGGCTCTGCCAGTCTGGCCATCCTCCCCAGACCCACACCCACACCCACACGTGCCACTGTCCGTAGGGTGTCCTCAGGGCCAGCGAAGCAGCTGAGGAGACGAACAAGTCCGAGGGGCACCAGGACGTGAGCTAAGGCAGGCGCCTGCCCCACCCTGCCCCCTTGCAGATGTGAGGCCCAGATGACAGCCCCTGAGGCTTTGACTAGCTCTAGAAGGCCAGGTTGGGTTTGTCTGGGTTTTCAGTGGGTTGTAGAAATTACTAATCCATAAGGAAGTATGAAAAAACACTTTGGCTTTGAAGTTAGAGACCTAGATTTGAATCCTGACTCCATCGCTTACTGATGATCTCGCCTAACTGCTTGTGAGATTTAGAGATAATGGGAGCACAGAAAGTACCTGCTTTGCGCGGTGGACAGTCAGCAGTTGGGAGTTGTTAGTTGCCTAGCAACAAGGCCGCGCCCCACCCTCCCCTCCTTAGGAGGGCAGAGCACTGCCTGGAGCCCCGCTTTCGCTTTCCTGGCTGGGCTCACCTGCCAGCCCCTGCCTTTCTCCCCCTGCTGACCTCCCGCAGGACCCTGAGGAGGAAACCCAGCAACATGAAACGCCTCTCCCCAGCGCCGCAGCTGGGCCCCGCCTCCGACAGGCACACCTCCTACTACAGCGAGTCCGTGGTCAGCGAGTCCTACTTTGGCAGCCCCCGGGCCGCCTCCATCGCTGCCTCTCTCACCAGGAGTTCCATCCTCGACGACCAGCTGCATGGTGACCCCTTCTGGAGTGAGTGTCCGCAGCCTTTCTCCTGGGCCTCTGCTGCCTCTGGAGATTTATGGTCCAAAATCCCCCCCGGGGGTTTCCTAACCGCTGCTGGGCCAGAAGAGGGGCTCCCCACCTTCGGAAACCCTTGGGAGAGCAGCCGAGTGTCTGAACTTCCAGGCCCATTTAGACGAAGGAGTAGCCACGTAGCTGCTCCAGGCCTGGGAGACGGAGGGGCTGGTCCTAGTTCACCCTCCCTTGACCCAAGGGAGCTCGGGAGGGGCTAAGAGTAGATTCCATCTGCCCATCAGAGATGCTCCCCGGGGTGTCCCCGCGAGTCCCTCTGGAACACCGTCCTCGGAGCATCTCTGCCCCAGGAGAACCCCGTGTCCTTCCCTCCTCAGGTGAGGACCTGCGGGTGAGGAGAGGCACAGGTGGCACTGAGAGCAGCAAAGTCAACGGGCTCCCGGAGGACAAGCTCTCCGAGGACTTCCTCGGGTCGTCCTCGGGCTACTCTTCCGAGGATGACTACGTAGGTAGGCGACATCCTCCCTCCCCAGCCTCGGGGAGGTGCTCCGCCAGGTTCCCGGGCTGCTGGGGAGGTGACAGGAAGTAGGGGAAGGTGCCCTGACAGCCCGAGAGAGCATGGTGTCCAGCTGAGTGCCACCATGCTGTGCCACCATGGTGCCCTGAACCCAGGCCTGGGGTGGCCCTCGACAGCGCTGGGATGCGATCGCCTGGCCCCACGAGGCCTTGAGCGGCCTGTGGCCAGGTCCCTCATTTGACTCATTTCTGGCAGGTGTTTAACATGGAGCTTCACACGCAGGAGGTGCTCGATCCCTTAGTCTAGTTCTGAGTGGTTTGAGGGATTGCTGGTGAGAGGGAAGCAGACAAGGGGTCCAAGGGAAATAAAATGTCAGAAATCTAGCACTTTGCTTCATCAGCGTTTACTGGCCTGCTAGCGGCCAGCCTCTGTCGCTTGGGGATGTGAAGGAGAACGACACACGGTCTCAGCTCACAGTCTAGAGGAGCAGACAGCTGACAGGTCTCCATGTCCCAAGGCTCTTAAGAGTGAGGACAGCGGCGGTCCAGTGGTTAGGGCTCCGCGCTTCCACTGCAGGGGGCACGGGTTCGATCCCTGGTCGGGGAACTAAGATTCCGCAGGCCCTGTGGTGCCCGGCGCCTCCACCACCAGAAAAAAAAGAGTGAGGACAACTGGGCGTCTCCTCTTCTCCCCTGCAGGCTACTCGGAGACGGACCAGCAGGGTTCAGGGTCGCGGCTCCGGAACGCCGTCTCTCGGGCGGGCTCTCTTTTCTGGATGGTGGTCACTTCTCCAGGTGGGTGCCGGCTGCTCTGTACATGATTGTTTCCATTCTCTCTGGCAGTCACTTTCACCCATCTTTCTGCGGTTGGGTATCCAACCCGTTAGAAAGAGACTGTAGGGCCACCAGGGATAGCTCGTTCCAGAATAATTACTGGGAGCCAGGAGCCACGGGAGCACCCTTGCTTGAAAGCTGGATGGAGGGCATTGGCAGCACAGGCGGGTGGGATCACAGGACCTGGGTAGCGTGGGACAGGACGGAGGTGCACTGGCGATCACGGTTGGGGTCGGGGCAGGGAGGACCGCTGGTGGAGACACACAGGCCCAGTGGTTCAGGGTGGCACTTAGGCTTGACGGGCCCTCTTCCAGGCCGGCTCTTCGGACTCCTCTACTGGTGGATTGGCACCACCTGGTACCGCCTGACGACAGCTGCCTCCCTCCTCGACGTCTTCGTTTTAACCAGGTGAGCAAGACTGACAAGGAATCAGAAGGCCCCAGGCAGAAGGGGCCAATAAAGCATCTAAGCCTGTACGTGATGGTTTCTCTGAAGGTTTTTTTTCCCCAGTTTACTTGCAGCTTTTATTAGCGTGGAGTGGACACCCAGAGCCCCTTTTTCTGCCTGACAGTGGACAGGACTTAGAGTCAGGTTCAGGGAGTGTTCTGGAACGCAGGTTCTTGGGCACTTCCTTCCAAACACCAGCCTAGCCACTTCTGAGGCTCAGACAAGCCCAGCCTTACTCCTGCTGGCCAGGCCTTAGGCTCTAGCCAGCAAGTGGTGTTTCCCAGAACATTCAGCATCCCTCTTGGCCCCCTGGTGATCTGGACCCCCCAGGGTTTTCCAAAAGAAAATACTATCTGACTAAGGAGTTACTTTTTTTTTCTTCTATATTTGCTTGCCTAGAGGACATCTGTCTGTGAAAGTTTTAAGTTAATTCAGAGACCCCAGTACTTACTTACTTATTTATTTTATAACTTTATTTTTATTTATTATTTTTGGCTGTGTTGGGTCTTCGTTGCTGCTCGTGGGTTTTCTCTAGTTGCGGCAAGCGGGGGCTACTCTTCGTTGCCGTGTGCGGGTTTCTCATTGCGGTGGCATCTCTTGTTGCGGAGCATGGGCTCTAGAGCACAGGCTCAGTAGTTGTGGCGCACAGGCTTAGTTGCTCCGTGGCATGTGAGATCTTCCCAGACCAGGGTTGAAACCCGTGTCCCCTGCATTGGCAGGTGGATTCTTAACCACTGCGCCACCAGGGAAGCCCGCCCCCAGTATTTATTTTTGATAACACCAATACAGTTCAGAGTCAGGATTGTCCCCATCACTGCAAGCTTTGCAAGTAAAGCATCCAGTCTGGCCCTGGCAAGATGACAGGCTTGAGGGTATCCTCTCTAACTCTAGCTCTGCACTCAGGAAAAATCTCTAGGAACTCCCTGGGGGCATAATAGAGGCCCTGGAGCCCTCCTGACACCTCCGCCTGCCCTCTCTCCCCTCCTGTGGTCCAGGCGCTTCTCATCACTGAAGCCGTTCCTGTGGTTCCTCTTGCTGCTGCTGCTTCTGACCGGCCTGACCTATGGTGAGCTCATCCACTGTCACAGGGAGGGGTAGAATGAGAGCTTGTGGAGGTGGGGCTTGCGAGCCAGAGGGGCAGGCAGAGTGTGGGCCGAGGCTGGTGCTGAGCAGAAATGTGAAAACTAGGGAGACAGTGATCAACTACAAAAAAGGGAAGGAGGCAGGACGAGCGGGGTCGGATGGAGCCTGGGCAGCAAGCATCCTGTCTGGGTCTCCTGGTCCTCAGGTGACCAGTGGGTGAAAGGGGAAACGCTCCGATCCACTGATCTTGTCCTTGGTTTGGGTTGCTACGCTGGACTGCCTAGCGTGTCTAGAGCATCCTTGCAGCCCCAGGGGCTGGAACATGCCTTAGTACAGGAGTACTGGGGTGAAAAGCAGGGACTCTGACACTGTTATTAGCAGTCATTTTCCCTCCATTCCAAATCAGGAGGTTGTCTGGGTGAGTGAATTATCATTACATCGAGTTCAGTCCTTAGCTGTGTCTTTAGGATCAAAACAATGCAGCAGTAAAGAGAAGTGAGGGCACCTTTTTGCACCAACAAGTACCTGTCATCTATACGATGCCCCTCGTTGTTCCCGTCTCTATCGTTGACCTTTCACATTGTTTACATAGTTGTAATCACTATGTTTATATATTTTGTGTTCAACTTTTGATTTGACAATTTCACGTGAGTTCCACAGTTTCCTATGAGTTGCCCCTGTGGCGCCCAGGCTCAGTTTTACCAATTTATAATTAAAGGCCATGCTTTATTATTATTATATTTTTAGAGGTGGTTTTATAGGTTTAGCATCTACTCAAGTTGTATTTCTTTAATTTCTGCCAAGGTAGAACATCTTTCCAAGTGTTGATTCCCTTGTTTCCTGTTACAAGAACAGCTTGTTCCTATCCAGTGGAAACTGGGCATTGCCCTTAAAATAATAATGACGTTTTATAATCTTACAGTGTTTTGTTCAGGAAGCGTATTCCCTTGTGTTATCTCACAAGGTTGTTTGTTTCACCATCCCCATGTGGGGTTGGTGGAGCTGAGGTTCTCACGGTGTCATGAGTTGCATACGGAAAGTCTGAAAGGCAGAGGGGTGGAGTGACCAGCTCCGGGAGGGCAGTAAGTGAAGGCCTGTCCGGAGGGTCTGACTTAAAGTCTGGTGGTCACGTGCTTCCCGTTGCACCTGCTCGAGGCCAGCAATTGAGTGGCAAGTGTGGCATCTTACCAGGGTGCAGACCCCACAGCCAATATGGCTTTTTCAGGCGCTGTCAGTCCCACACATACATGTACACGCACACACGTGGCACATGCGTAGCTCAGGAGTAAACACATCACAAACAGTAGCCCCTAAAGCAAGATGCAAATGTCTCTGTGTGGTGGCAGCCTTGTGCTCTGTTCTGGGGCAGCAGGCAGCCTCTCTTAGCAGGTGGATTCTGTTTCAGTGATTCTCAACCATGGCAGCCCATTAGAGTCACCCGGGGAGCATTTATTTATTTATTTATTTATTTTTATTTATTTATTTATGCATGCATGCATGCATGCATGCTGCACGGTTTGGGGGATTTTACTTCCCCAACCAGGGACTAAACCCACACCCTCAGCATTGACAGCTCGGAGTCCTAATCACACCATGGACCGCCAGGGAATTCCCACCTGGGGAGCTTTTAAAACTCCTATGGAGGGATCCCCCAGGCCTGCGAACTCACTCTGGAGGGCGGGGCCAGACACTGATTGTTTCAAAAGCTCCATGGGAGATTCTGATGTACGGTCTGGACTGAGGACCACCGTCAGGCCCTCTGGGTTCTACCGTTGGATCAGCCCCAACTTATGATAGCCGTTTCCTCCAAGCTTTGCCACCTTTGGAAAGATGAGGATTCCTGAGGGGACGTGAGGATGCGTACACGCTGGGATTGTCGGGTGGAGGCTGCTGCCTCAGAGAGTGGCGGGAACCTCCACCCCTCATACCGCCTTTGGCCGGGGCAAGGCTCCCGTGAGTGAGACAGGCTGCTGGTGAGCGCTGCTCATGAGGCTGCCATCCGCGCTGTGGCCCGGCCCAGGTTAACTGCCCCCTCCTCTGTGTGCAGGTGCATGGTACTGCTACCCCTTCGGGCTGCAGACGTTCCACCCCGCCGTGGCTTCCTGGTGGGCCTCGAAGGGCAGCGGTGGGCAGCGTGCGGTGTGGGGTTCCAGAGACTCATCCCCACATTTCCAGGTGAGCATCTTAGGGTCGCAGGCTCCCGCCTCAGCCTGAATTTGCCATTGAAGTCCCTGTCCCTTCTTCCTCACACACACAGCTGAAGAGGTGCTGCCAGGATACCTTTCTCTACTGTTTGTGGTGCAGGTGTTGGGGGATGTTTTGCTTAAGTATGACTCAAAACTGCCCAAAAGCTAGTTGCCATCCTAAGAGGCACGGAAAACAGAAGGAAGAGGAATAAGACAAATTGTCTTGCCTACTTTGTTCCTTTTCAGTACAATTTCACGAATCTTTACTTAGTACCTTCTGTGAGTCAGGTAATATCCTGTTCTGTTACCTATTACCATAGATAAACCACCCCCAGAAGCAGTGCCTTAAAAGTACCAGCACTGGGGAATTCCCTGGTGGTCCAGTGGTTGGGACTCGGCACTCTCACTGCCACGGCCCAGGGTCAGCCCCTGGTCAGGGAGCTAAGGTCCCGCAAGCTGTGCAGTGTAGCCAAAAAAAAAAAAAAAAAACCCCTGAGCCTGCGCTTCCGGAGCCTGTGCTCCGCAACGTGAGAGACCCAAAAAAAAAAAAAAAAAAAAAAAAAAGTACAGCATCGGATTAGCTCGTGAGCCTGCAGGTCCCCTGGGTGGCTTTTCTGGTCTGAGCAAGGACAGCTGATCTTGGCTGGGCCCCTCGCCTGTCTGCAGTTGACTGGTGGGTCAGCAGGGGCGGGCTGGTCTAGGCCTGGGCTGGGCAGGTTGTACCTTTGCTGTCCGGCAGGTAGCCTGGGCTTGTTCTCATAGCGGCCGGGCAGGGTTCCAGGAGAGTGGAATCATGCCAGACCTTGAGCACTAGATTCAGAACTAGCATACTGTCACTTCTGCCACATTCTATTGGCTGAAGCAAATCTCAGAGCCAGGCCAGATTCAAGGAGGGGGAAATAGACCCAACCTCTCCATGGAAGCGCCTGCGAAGCCACATTGCAGAGGGCACAGATGCTGGGAGGAGGGCAGGACGGTGGCCATTTTTGCAACCTGCCAGAGGCTAAAGATGGATCTGGCCCAGGCCCTGCCCTCAAGAGGCCTGCGGTCCAGTGGTGGGCGATGAGTGCACAAACAACCGGAGTGTGTATGTGCAGGTCCTGGGGTCTACGATGAAAATGTAAAACTCTTTGTCCTCTAATTATAGTTATTTGAACTTTGCTTGCATCCTGCTG